CGCCGAGGAGGCCGGCGATGGGCAGCGGTCCGGCGCGGCGGCGCCGGCGGGCCCGCGGCGGTTGGGGGCCGCTTTAGACCCCACCACCAACGACGGCAGCGACAAGACCACCTGCTCCCTGCTGCCGGCCGCAACCTTATCCTGCTGTTGCCTCCCGGCCGTCACCGCCACCACCTTCGTCTCCGGCGGCGGTTGGCTGTCCCAGCCCCTGCCGCTGACGCCCTTGGAACGGCTGCTCTTGCCACCGCTGCTGCTGCCCCTCTTCTTCTTGCTGCTCGCCCTTGACGCCTGGCTGCCGATCGGGCTAGCGCCACCGCCCCCGGCCGGCCCGCGCCGCTCCCCTCGCCCGCCGCCCTCCTTCGCAATCAAGCCCATGGAAAAACTCTCCGGGAGTTCGAACCCCTCCGCCGAGGAGGCGACGGAAGACCCTTCCGACAGCATACCAACCGGGAGCTGGTTCGGGTTCGTCCTCGGCCAAGGCCTCCCTGCCGCCCCCGCGTTCAAGCTCCCTCCGACTTCGTCACTCTTGAGGAGTCCGCCGCCGCCGCTGTCGGCGCCTGCCGACCACGAGCCCTCCGTGGGGGTCGCTTGTTGGTTGCCGCCGTTTCGCTTCTCCTTCGACGCGCCCTGGCGACAAACGTCCTGAACGCCGACCATGTCATCGTCGCTCGGGAGGCCGGCCTGCATCTCGGCGATGGCGTGCGCGAGGCCGGTCGACACCGACTCCTTGAAGCTCTCGGAGCGTCGGCGCACGAAAAGCTTGTTCGGCACCCCCCGCGCGGGGTTGCCGCCGCCGCTGCCGCCGGCCGCAGCGCCGGCGCGGCCGCCGCCGCCACCGCCGCCCTCCCACTGCTGGTCGTCGCGGGAGCCGTGATCATCGTTTCGTTGCAAAAGCGGGAGAGGCCGGCAAAACAGAGAGGACAAGTTGCGAGGGTGTTGAGCCAGGCACGGACAACCTTCGAAGCAACCTGTCTCAGGCGAGCGCGGGCGATGGTCAGTCAGCACTGCAAGCAACACCGCGCAACAAAACATAACACAATCACAGCTCACCTCGTTTTCATCCTGCTCCTCGTCATCGGTAGGGTCCAGGGCTTCCCGCCGCAGCGCCGACAGTGTTTGAGGGGGCGAACCTGGACGAGGAAGAGAGCAGCGGGCACCGTATCGGAAACTCGGTGTAATTGTCTTGGGTGACACCAAACGTGTGCAATACACGCCACCCCCATTGAGCACAGAAGTTCGACCCTCCCTCTAGGAGCGCATGTTGCCGCAAGGACAAACGCAGTTGCTACCAAGTGAGGGGCGACGAAGAACCACAGCCACCCCAGAAGGGCAGCAAGCAAAAGAGGAAAGAAGGCCCGCTCGCTACCATGAGGGGCGGGCCGTTGTGCAGAGGTTCACGACACGCACGACCGTGGCCAACCCCGCACCGTGGGAAGGGTGTCCATCGGAATGACGCCAACGAGTTCAGGCATGGCCCCCACGGCAGGGGTGGCGAAGCCAGGGTGGGAGGCTGGCGATCACTACGAGCGCAGCAGCAGATAACCAAGCAAGCAGCCGTCGTTGCTACGACCACGTACGGGGAGAGAGACGAAAAGTCCCAGAATCGCAGACGTATCAACGCCAACGATTGACAACAAAATTCGCGGGTGTTGATCCTACGAAAACCCCGTCAACAACGAACCAGCATTTGCATCACCGCCAAAAGAACGCCAAGACAAACAAAACAAAAAACTACTTTTCGGTGCTGTTTTGTTCCCGCAAATATTGTTTTTGCCCGCATTACCCAGCTCCACCCTCAACACCACCGCAGTCGCCTGCTTACTCACCCTCATCTCTTTCCTCCCGGGGAGGTACACGACCTCCGGCGCCGCCGCCGGCACCGGTCCGAGGAACACGGCTGCGCCACTCCTCGCCCCGCCGGCTTCCCCATCCTGTGGCCGCGCTGTTTTCCCTCGTTTGGCCACCGACCAACCCGTCTTCTAGCGAGTCCTTGGAAAGGGTCGCGTTCGGCTGGGTCGGCATCCGCTGCCGCTGCGGGCGCTTCTTCTTCTGCTGCTGCTGCTGCTGCTGCTGCTGCTGCTGCTGCGGGCCACCGCTTTTTCGAGCTCGAAGATGGTCTTCTTCGCCAGAGGACGACGACGAAGACGAAGACGAAGAGAACGAGAACGAGCAATAAGAAGCGTACTTCGCGGCTGCCTCTGCCGTCGGCGATCGTCCCGTCGAGGACCCTCCTTCGCTGACGCCGGTGCTGCCGCCGCCGGCAGTGGAACCCCCCCCCGAGGCCTCCGCCTTCGCCGCCGCCTCCTCCGCTGCCGCCGCCGCCGCCGCCGCCGCCGCCGCCACCGCCCCGGAGGAGGACGGGGTCGGGGCCGACATCATCGGCGGTGGCGGGGCGGCGTCTATGGCGGAAGACGACCAGCCGCCTCTCTTGGGCTTGGCTGCAGGCTTCCTGGTGAAAAAGGTGGAGTCCTGGGAGATTACCGAAGACCCTGGGGTCATCATCGGACGGATGGACTGGAGGGAGGGAGGGAGGGAGGGAGGGACGGTGGGGGGGAAGAGAGAGACACAGAGGGAGGGAGGGAAGGAGGATGGGAGGGAGGGACGGAGGGACGGGGGGGGGGAGGGGAGACACAGGGAGACAGGGAGACAGGGAGAGAGACAAATCATGCAACGAGCAAAAGAGGGGACGATGGGAACAACGGTGGACGGGGCAGCAGGGGTGGCGGGGGGGAAATTGAGTAAGGCACGTGGTCAAGACAACGAGCAGGTGATGGTGAAGTCGCAATGAGGTGGCATGTTCAGGACCGCAGCCTTGGCAAGGTTGTTCGTCGAAGAAAACATGCTGGATAAAGGATTCAATCGGGGAAGTTGGGTTAGGGTTATAGGGTTAGGGATAGGGTCTGCGTACCCCCTCCCGGTTCTATTTTTTCCTCAAAAACTTAATCTGCGGTCCGGACAGGTACGCATTGGTCCGCGAGAACCACTTGTCTCTTGCCGGCACAGCAGTAGTTGAACAAAAATAATGCTAGTACTGATTGCTTCGGAAGCTTCCTTCAGGAACGGGGAGCGCAAATTGTCCAGAAATGACGTTCAAGAGGTTTCGCAAACAATTCCCTGAAACGGTTATGAGGCTAGTAGTTTTTGAAAAAATGAAGACTCAGACATGCACATACGGTAGAAGATAACAAGTTGGAGGACCTGTTTCGAAATTTTCAGGCTCACCTCCCATACATAGGGGTCCAACAAAAAAAATTTAATTATTTCGCGCGAAGCGCGAAAAGAAGGGTCGGAGAGAGACATCACAGCAAGCGTAGATAGATATGGATGGAGCCTACGCCACCACGTAGGTCACCAGTGCGCACGCTCACACCTCACCCGATACCACCAGTCAGCCAGGGGATGAATGGGAGAGCTGTTTAGCTCTCATCATCATCAGCTCAGCGGCAGCAGTGCTGCTGCTGCTGCTGCTGCTGCTGCTTGCTGTTGCTGCGGCGCTGCTGCTGCTGCTGTGCATGGGTGCGCACTTGCTTTCTTCGCTTTCGCTACTAGCAGAGGGCAACAGGCTCGAAAAATTGGGCCCGACCCCTCCCACGACGTGCGTATTTGGCGCTGTGTACGTCTCACTTGTTTCTGTTTCTGGGGTGAATCTGTTGTGGAAGCAAAGATCGGCCGGCAGACGAGAGACAGCAGACAAAGATCTCACTTGTGTGCACTCGCATGTTCCCTCGCTTACCGGCCTCGGGGTCTAAAAATAGCTTCCGACGCCAGCCATGATGTGTGCCTTTGGCCGGCCTTGGCCTACAGCAGTGTCTGGGCCTCGTTTTCTCTGTTATGGGGATACGTCTGTGCGGGAAGCTCCAAAGATCGGTAGGGTGAGGGTGATGATGCAGACGGACCGCGGGTTGACTTGCGTCGTCACTCGCTTGTGCTGCCGACAGCAGGCAACGGGCCGCAAGAGTCCCACCCAACGCCTCCCATGATGTATGCCTTTGGCTGCCCTTGGCCTACAGCAGTCCGTATACTGCTGTGCTGGTTGTATCGTATGTTGTCTACGTGATGTGTATGGTGCTGCTGTGCGAGAGGATTTCAGTGATTCTGCCGAGAGCGTCGTGCCCATCGCCCAATCATCTGTCTCTGTCTTACAAAATGTCTTACAAACTCGACGGGTGATTGGTGGGAGTCAGGCATCTACCCGGCTCTACCCCTCTAAAACATAGATAATTGTTGGAAGTTCTTTCGTGTCTTACAAAAAAATTGCCCTATTTATGGGTGCTCTGCCAATTTTCAAGCTTTCTTGCTCCCAGCAAAGCCAGTTTCCCTCCACTCATCACTGCAAGGACTCCAACACGTCCCGTTCGACTACGGTTTTATCTCGAACGGATAGTCTTTCTGTTTTTGTGCAAAAGCACTGCTTGTTTTCCTAAAACACGCCACGAAACTTTCAGAAGGACCACCTGAGCTTCCAGGCAGAGGCGCTGGACCCACCCTACTTGTACATCGACACAAACTAGTCAGTTTAAGGGCTACAGGGCCTCTAACACTATCCTACAGCAGAGCGCTTCCGGGCTACAGCAGTTGCTCGCCCTCTGCTGATTGATTGCTAACTGTGTAGAAAACGGAACGGAGCAGCTTGTTTGCTCTGTATACAAGTAGAGGCCATTCCGCCCAGAGGGGTCGGTGATCGGGGAGTGCTACGGACTTAGATACAACGGCCGAACGGCCACACGTGGCGCTTTCGCGCCTACAATGTACGACCTTCTCGCCACCCTCCACTCGCTTCGCGATTTGTCGCAAAGCAGGCAACTAATAATTGCAGCAAGTCTTGACAAACGAGCAACAATGCTGGGTTTTCACTGCTGTGTACTCTACAACAAGCGTCGATATTTTCATTCGCGCGCATATGAGGAAAGGCGCACTCCCTTCGAGCGAGATGAGCGGGGTGTCTTGATATCGACGACGACGCACCAACTACTGCTGTTGCACGGCTCTGGAAGTCAGCAACAGACACACAGCGCTGTGCATGCATGCCGCTTTCCCACACGAGTTATGTATGTAGCTGTGATCATCTCGGGGGATGTACGAATCCACGCAGCAGAGGAGAGAAGATGCCGCAGCACATCAACATAACTGCTGTCCTTGCTCGGGGTGATGTGCATGATGTGCATATGCGCTCGGGTCGTGTAAGAATCCTCCGAACATCTTACTCTTCCCACAGAGGTCGTCCCGAATGCAGGTTACCGGTAGTCGCCAAGTTCTCAGGGTCGAGGAGGTATTATTTCTCTGTTTTCCACCAAGTAGTCTATTTTCGTAGGGCAAGACAACAACAACGGCGTCACCCTTCTCCCTTCTCGCCATAGGTTTCGCCACGCGCCACAGGGGCGACAATTGTCGCCGCCGGCCATCTGGCTTTTTGTGGCTGCATGCAGTTACGCCCCGTGGTGCGAATGTAGTCGTTGGTGTGAAACGGCTGTGATTGATTGGCCGTGTCAGGAAAAGGGGGTAAAGAACCAAAAAACAAATGTACATGTACGAAGAGACAACGCAAAAAAAAAAATAGCAGCAGCGCAGCGCTTCCAACGGTTGTTGGGGGGGGAGGGAATTACACCTCATACATATCGCACGCTCCTTTCCTATACATCGTTTCAAGGCCACCACCAGGGCGGGCGACGCCGACATACGCACACCAGCTGCTGCTTAAGTAGTTACCAACAAGCCGGGACCCACAAGGAATAACGGACGAGACAGCGAGCAACAGTCATCTACGCATGCAGCAACAATGAAAATGCCAAGAATCGGATAAAAAAAGGTGGAGGCGGACGGACAAATTATTTTTTCGTCGGGGAAGCAGCGACGAACCAGGCAGGGGAGCAGCCAGCGTGCGCTGATGCTCCGGCAGCAGCGAACAACAGTGTGAGACACGCATACAAACACACCTTGGCTGAGTCCAGCCTGAAGAGCGAGCTCCCGCCGCCGGCTGCCTCTCCCTCGCTCGGCGGGGAAGCGGCGGCTCCCTCTTGCGGTGACGATCTCGCCCGCTTTCGAAGCCCCGTGCTTGCTTCTGCCGCTGCCCCTGCTACAAAGGTTGGAGTGCTCTCGCCGTAGCTGCCTGAGCTAGACCTCCACAGAGGCCGCGCGTGCGACACGAGGGGAGACGGCGGGCGGCGCCACCAGTCCACGGGGAGGAGGGGCGACTGCGCAGGCACGCGAGTGAGACGCCCTCCCGTATCCGGGGCTGCTGCTGCCTCTGCTGCTGCTGCTGCCGGCCGCTTCCCCTGCTGCCGGTGAGAAGGCCCGGCGACCCAGAGATGCCCAGAAGCAGCAGTTGACGACGGAGCAGCAGCATGTTTCCCTTGCGCAACCACCGGGCCCACGCCCCCGCGTACTGCTGCTGCTGCTGCTGCTGCCGATGGAGGGGCTTGTACGAAGCGGTCTTCCCGCGAGCCCTCAGGCGCCACCCCCTGGCCGTGGTGCTTTCCCGGCAGACCTGGCGAACGTGGCATGGTTACAATTTGAACAGTACTGCTGTATGTCAAAGGACAGTCTACAGACAGGTATACCGCTCCTCGCAGCGCGCTGGCTGTAAAGCCCTGTGTGTGCGTGTGTGTGCGGGAGGGCGGGCGGGTACCAGCACCCAGGGCCCACAGAGGAGGGAACGCGCACGGATGGGGAGAGGGCCCGCTCTCTCCTGGTGCGCAGCCTTCAACCTTTGCTTCGTGGTTGTATGGTGTATGGAATGTTGATGGACTAATAATCTGAGTCTGGACACACGGAGCCAGCAAGAGCCGCCAACATGTGGGGGGCAGACAAATGGGACATATGTGCAAATTTGTTTTTCCGGGGGGGGGGGGGGGGGAGGGGAAAGAATAAACCGAAAATGAACCGAAAACCACGGGGGAAAAAACCCCGGGAAACAACGGCGGCGCCGCCGGAACCGGGCCTTGCCCCCGCCCCCCCCTTTGCCCCCCCGGTGGCGGGGGAAAAAACCCCGAAAACCTTTTCCCCAACCCAAAAAAAAAAAGGAAACCAAAACAATTTCTCCCCCGAAAAAAAAAACAACCAAATTTGGAGGAACCCCCAACCTTGTTCAAAAAAAAAAAAACACTTTTTGCCCCGTTAACCCCGCCCCGGGAATAATCCCCCCCAAAACCCCCCCCCCCAGGTCAAAAAAGGCGGGCCCCCCCCCGGCGGGAAAAAAGGAAAAAAAAAAAAAAAAACAAACCGAAGGGCCGGAAAAACCCCGGGGGGGCCGGGGGTTTCCCCCCGGGCCGGGTTCCCTAACTGGTGCTC